TTTCTGGGAGTGATGTGATCACAGCTTTTCCCGAGTTATCATTCATAATTCCAGCCGGGGCGCGAAAGGGCGGGGTGGGGGGGAAGGTAGCGGCGGATAAATGTCACCCAGTTCGGCCTCCCAGTGTCCAATGTCCGTCCGTCCGTCCTGCCCGCTGTCCCTACGGCTTCTGTGCGGAGGGGACGGGCTGAAGTCCCAGCTCCTTCTCGTGGGGGCCGCTGTACTTGTAATCCATGGAGCCGTGGGAGCGGCAGCGCTTCCTGGCCAGGTAGAATCCCAGAGCGGCCAGGGCCAGGAGGCTCAGCAGGGCACCCCCGGCGATGCCCACCAGCACCCCGGGGTGCAGCGGCTCCGCTTTCGGCGGGGGCCGGCTGGGGACGGGCGTGTGCGGTTCCAGCTCCAGATCCCCCGAGGACGTTTCGTCGCCATCCCCGTCCAGGATGGTGATGCAGTCGATGCCGCTCAGGGGGTGGCCGTGGGGACAGTGGCACTGGAAGCTCCCGGGGGTGTTGGTGCAGTTGAACTCGCAGTGGCCGCTGTCGCACTCATCCACGTCGATGCACAGGTTGTCGTCCTCGTCCAGTATGAAGCCCTCGGGACACTTGCATTTCCCGTCGATTTCGCACAGGGCTGGGCACTCGGTGGTGTTGCAGTGCGGGAGGCAGCGGGAGGGATCCTGCGGGTGCACGGCGTAGCCGGGGTGGCAGCCGCAGCGGTCGCCGTCGGGCAGCTCCTCGCAGCGCTGCTGGCACGACAGATTCCAGCAGGGCGGCAGGCGCTGGCAGCGCCCGCCCACCATCCTGTAGCCTTTGTGGCACCTGCACTCGAAGCCGCCCTTGGTGTTCTCGCACTTCTGCTCGCACGGGCCGGGCTCGCTGGCGCAGTCGTCGATGTCCTCGCAGCTGACGCCGTCGGCCGCCAGCTGGTACCCGACGGAGCACATGCACACGAAGGAGCCGTCGGCCACCACGCAGTGGTGCTGGCACTGCGCGCCCTCGCACGGCGAGCGGCACCCGCGCCCGTCCGGCGCCAGCACCGCGCCCTCGGAGCAGGAGCAGCGCGGCCGCCCGCGCTCCTCCGCGCACGTCCCCGCGCAGCCCCCGCCGCCCAGCTCGCACGGCCACGCTCCCGGCGTGTCGCGGCCCCAGCGCGGCCCCGCGCCGTCCCCGTCCTCGCAGCGCAGCCGCAGCCCGAGGTCAGCGATGTCCGCCACGCTGCCCGGAGGCAGCGCCAGGAAGTCCGCTCCGCGGGCGCCGAAAGGGGTGGTGTAGGTGACGGGGACGCCGCGCTGGGTGGCCAGGCGGGGACAGCTGCCTCCGTAGCTGTACTGGCAGAGGAAGCCGTCGGCCGGCTCCTCGCAGCTCCGCTCCTCCCAGCGCAGCTCCCGGGACACGGTCACGCAGAGCTCGCCGCAGCGCTGCCCCGACGGCGCCCAGTTGGTGTAATCGGTGCTGCGGTCGCCGGTGACCCAGCGGAAACCGCGGAGCCGCCGGCTGAGGTCGGTGCAGGACAAGGAGGGCGACAGCGAGAGCCCGAGCCAGAGCCGCCCCTCGCGGTTCTGGAGCAGCAGCGCGATCGCCTCCTCGGCCACGGTGGAGCGCACGGTCATGAGGTGTCCCCCGCCCCGCTCGCAGCCCTCGCTGGCGGCGGAGAAGGAGCGGGACGCCCAGAACACGGCGAAACACTCGTGCTCCAGGCACTGCGCGCCCGCGGGGGACAGGTCCCGCGGCTGTGCCAGCGCCACCGTCCCCAGCAGCAGCAGCAGCAGCAGCGGCGGCGGCAGCAGCGGCCGCATGTCCCGCGGAGGGGGCGGCCGGCGGCGCCCCGAGCTGAGCATGGCCCGCTCCTCCCGGCCGCCCCCTTTATAGCGGCCCCGGCGGGGGAAGGAAGCGCCCGCGGGGCCGGGAGGGAGCGCGGCGGTGAATCCCGGGCGGGCGCTGCCCCCGCCCCCGCCCCGCCGCCCCGGGCCCCCTCCCGCATCCTCCCGGCGGCTCCGCCCCGGCGGGGCCCGCCCGGCTGCGCGGGGGGAGCGGCAGCGGCCGGGGCGTCCCGCGGGAGCCGGGGAAAACAGGGTGAGCCTCGGGAAAAGGGGGAGACGGCAGCGGGATTTCACATGGCAGGAGGGGGCGTCGGGGTGGGAGCAGCGCCCGCCGGGAATTGTCACCCCGCTGGGAATTGTCACCCCGCTGGGAATTGTCACCCCGCTGGGAATTGTCAGTCACTCAGTTGCCCTGCGGAGGGCACAGCTCAAGCCCTGCGTCCAGCTCTGGATCCAGCACAGAGCATCTCTGTGTCCAGACATGGGAATGGAGCCGGGAAGGGGCGGCAGCACCAGGAGGGAGCTGGGAGAGGGGCTCAGCCCGGGGAAAAGGAGGCACCAGAGGGGACCTTCTCCCTCTCGGCAATCCCCGACAGGAGGGTGGAGTCAGGTGGAATCGGGATCTGCCCCCGGGGAATAATGAACGGGATGAAGGGAAGCGGTTTAGGTTTAATTAAGGAAAACTTCTTTAATAGAAAATTAACATATAATTATGTGTTTCTATCTACAGTTATATATAATTTATATAGTTCTACTATTTGGTATTATTATTATTATTGTTATTATTATTATTATTATTAAGCATTATTATGACCTTTCTTCCTATCCCCCCTATTCCCCACAGACGCCTCTGAATGGATATCCCATTCCATCGGTTTATCCTTGGGGGATCCCCCTCTGCTGCCAGAACAGAGCCAAAGGCGACCTAAAAATGCAACCTAAATGTTCCAAGCTTCTCCACTCCACAAAAAGGCTGGTTTTTGCATGGAATTCCAACAGCCCCGGGCACTGCAATTGGCCTTTGGGATGAGCAGCAAATCCTAATTTCCTCGGATCATGGCAAGGAAGTTTCTTTATTAAATTCTAGTGAACTTTATTGAACTTTGTTTGTCCTTTCTTAAACCCTCGGGGTTTGTTTTGTCCTCTCACATCCCTGGGTGCTTCCTGTAAATCCCATGAGGCTGTGGGGAAAAGGGAAGTTTGGATTATTATTATTATTATTATTATTATTATTATTATTATTATTATTATTATTATTATTAAAAATAAACATAGATATAGCCATAGACATAAACATAGACATAAACATAGATATAAACATAAACATAACATAAACATAAACATAAACATAAACATAACATAAACATAAACAACTATTCTTTAATCCCATTGGACGTTTCGGATCTGCCCCAAATATTGAAAAAAAAAATGTCCATGGAATTTAATTCCAGCAGCAGGGATGAACCTCAAGGAGAAAGTGCCCATGGAGGAGCTTGGAACAAAGAATTTATCCAAGCAGGATCATTCCCAGAAATCTCCTGGGAGCTGGATAACTCTGACCTTTACTGGCTTTAGGAACACCTGTTGCTCCCACAATTTTCACTTCACTATTTCCAATTCCTCCTCCACTTCTCCTTTTACTTCTGCTTCTGTTTTCTGTAGAAAACCACCTAGAGAAGGAGGAAAACATCCTGGCAAACCACAGGAAAAGAAGGAAAACAGAACGTGGTGGAGATGAAAAAAAAAACAAAAAAAAAAAAACCAAAACAATAAATTTCTGCTCCTGCTGTTATTTTTTTTTCAGTAACTGCAAACCCAGATAAAAAATTCCTTGTCAAGGTTTTTTCCAGGAAAAAACAGAGCCTTCCCAAACAATGATCCCACTTCGCTGGCCTTGCCCGACTGACAAGTTTTGTCCCTAAAAGATAATCGGGATGGGGTGGGAGGAATGGGATTAATCACGCTTTCATAATTCCCTTTTATCCCACTGCTCTGCAGGCTGAGTCAGGGTGCCAGCACTGCCCTGCCTGCTGACAGGCTGCTTTTCCTCTTCCCCAGTCCCATTAATCATGTTTTCCCTGCCTTTCCCTTTGGCTCTGACTCATCCCGGCTGTCCCTGTCACTCTGCTCGGAGCGGGCACTTGGAATGCTTGTCCTGACCCCCCGAATCCGGGAGTTTGCGTCAACAAGGGGGGGAATTTTTGGCTTCTTTGCAGGGTTTTGGGATGAGGTTGCTCTGTTGGAATGCTGGCAATTGGCCATGAAGGAATGGAAAGCAATGGAATGTAAAATAATATGAAATATCATGGGATAATAGGATCTAAAAGGGGTCTGTCCTATTATTTGATCCCGAAAAAGCCCTCGCGCAGAGAGGTGCTGAAATCAAAGGGATTGCATGTGGATTTGGGATCGTGGTCGTGGGATTAGGGCCTTGGTCATGGGATTGGAACCTTGGTTGTGGGACTGGGACCTTGGCCATGGAATTAGGACTATGGCCATGGGATCAGGACCTTGGTCATGGAATCAGGACTTTGGTTATGGGATTGGGACCTTGGCCATGGACTCAGGACCTTGGTTATGGGATTGGGACCTTGGCCATGGACTCAGGACCTTGGTTATGGGATTGGGACCTTGGCCATGGAATCAGGACCTTGGTTGTGAGATTGAGACCTTGGCCATGGAATCAGGACTTTGGATGTGGGATTGAGAACATGGTCATGGGATTGGGGCCTTGCTCACAGTTTTAGGAACTTGGTCATGGTCTTAGGACCTTGCCCGTGGGTTGAGGTCCTTCCTCATGGGCCTTCCTTGTGGTTTTAGGAACTTGGTCATGGGATTAGGATCTAGCTCATGGACTTGGGCCCTTCCTCCTGGGTTTAGGGCCTTGCCTGTGGGTTTGGGACCCTGTACATGGATTTAGGGCTTTTCTTGTGGCTTTGGGACCTTTTTTATGGGTGTAGGACCTTCCTCGTGGATTTAGGACCTTCCTTGTGGTATTGGGATCCAACACAGCCCATCCCAATGCTCCCACCCCATGGCCTCAGCAGGGATGAAGGGAATGGCCCCTGCCCAGGAGCACAGATCCTGGGAAAGGCTGAGATCATGGAAAAAGCCCTAGGAAAGGATTTGGGATCACCACCCACCCACCATGGGGAACACAAAGATTAGGAGTACCAGACCATGGATTTTTAGGAATATCTTTATTAAAACCCACTGCAAACACATTTTTATTCAGGTTTTCTTGGAATTTCATCCAGGGAGAGGTGTTGGGATAACTTTATCCTGTAAATCCAAGAGTTTCATTCTGAGAAAGCAAAACACTCATCCACAACAAAAAATTCCAAGGAGCAGGATGAACATCCCATCTCCTGTGGAAGACAGGGCACCAAATTATCCTGCTCCAACTTGTGGGATTCACCAGTCCCTGGACAACTCCCTAAGGAGGCCATGGATCAAGATGTGGCAGGAAAAATGAGAGAGGCTGGATCCAGGTGGAATTGCACCAGGAGGGAGGATGCTGCAGCAGGAAATATTCCATTAAGGAGAATCCAATGTAAACCTTGGCACAAATTCCTGTCTTCCCCTAGATCCATCATCATTCCCCAATGGAATACACAAAGGTTTCAACAGAAATCAGGATTTTGATTTTTGGGGAATAAACAACTCACCTCAGGTATTTCCCACCTCTGGTTCCACCCTCACCTTTTCTTTTCTTTTTTTTTATAGCCTTATATCCCATAAAAAACCCCAAGGCTGTCACTTCCCACAGACCCCAATCCAGCATAATTACATGGGATTCCCTTCATTGATCCAGCTATTTCCAATGCTCTGCTGACTTGGGATTTGGGAATTTTCGGCAGGATTTCCAAGAATCCTGCTGCTGCATTCCCTCCCTTTCTCCCAACTCAAGCAGCACATGGAAAGCATTCCTATCAGCTCCATTTTTCCTGTTTGCAGCTCACAATGGAGCCCCAAGACAAGAAAAAAAGCAGGAAAGGGTTTTGCTCAGCACATGGAATGACAGGATGCAGCTCCCTGCCCACCACAAACTCCTTTGTGTTCTGTTCCCATTCCTGGAGCAATTCAGCTCCAGGGACAAAATAACTCCAACAGAAACTTCAGGAACCTGCTGGACTCTTCAAATCCCGTGGCTGATCTTTTCCAGCCCTTCATAGCATGGATAAACCATGGAGGAGGTGCTGCTGGGTGTGCCCTTCAGGATTTGGGGCAGAATTCCCGCTGGAAAGGCTGGAAGAGGCTCAAGGAGTTTTGGGAAGTACCTGGGGAGCAACTTGGCCCAGAGAGTTTTTTTGGGAGTTACGAGTTTTACACAGAATAATCAGCAAATATTCCCATTCCAGCGTGTTCCTTACACAGGGAGAGAGGGAAAACATGCTCAGCCTGGAGCCGGGAAGGATCCTTCCCAAAACAAATGATCCAACAGGAAAAGCCCAGCCTCTCATGTGGCTGATGGGAAGGAGAGCATTGTTTTCTCTTTTTAGAAGTGGATTTAGGCAGGATACTCAGGAAATGAGGAGGTGGTTATTCCAAACACAGCTTTTCCTACCTTTATGCCATTCCTTGGCTCCATGATGAGCAGTTTTCCCTGGTTTCAGGTGATAGATTTTTAACATAACCCCAAAACCCCACCCTGGTTGTGCCTGCAGGGGCCTGTTCGAGCTCTGCTGAGGCACATCCCAGTTTCAAACCCTTTTCCATCCTAATTTCAAACCCTTTTCCATCCTAATTTCAAACCCTTTTCCATCCCAGCTTCAAACCCTTTCCCATCCCAATTTCAAACCCTTTTCCATCCCAACTTCAAACCCTTTTCCAGGGGAACGAGGCAAATCCAGAGGGAGCAGTGCACAAGGGGCTGCAGGAGAATTCCAAGTGAGCAGTCTTCCTTTAGGAACGCAATCCAACAATTCCGAATTTGCCTTTTGGAGCAGAGCTGAGGAGACAAATTCCACCCCATTCCCTCTCCCCTCTCGTTAACCCTTGGAGCAGCAGGACTGCAAATCCCACTGGAACAAACAGCCCGAGGAGCTCGCTTTGGGCACAAAGCATTCCCTCCCACCCTTTCATTGGGATTTTTAACCCTCTCCTACCTGCGCTCCCCGCGGCTCTCGGGCTGCTCGGGCACCCAGCAATAATTATCGGCCGCGTTTTTGGCCGGAGGTTTCTCCCTCTTGGCCGCCCTTTTCCTGCAAGCCACGAGCGCCAGGGCGAACGCCAGCAGGAGCAGGATGGCCACCAGGCTGCCCACGATGTAATAGAGCAGCAGCCGCGGGCCGTCGGCGCTGTGCTCGTCCGAGCCGGCCCCCAGTCCCGCGGTGGGCATTCCCAGAGAACGCGGGATGCTCGTGGTCCATGGGATGCGTGTGCTGCGGGGGATGCTGGAGCTCTGTGGGATGCCGGAGCTCTGTGGGATGCCCGAGCTCTGTGGGATGCTGCCGGAGCTCTGTGGGATGCTGCCGGAGCTCCGCGGGATGACGGTGGAGCTCTCTGGGATGCTGCTGGAGCTGTGTGGGATGCTGGAGCTCTGCGGGATACTGTTTGGGATCGCCTCTCCGGGGCTGCAGCCGTGGCCATCCGCGTCCCGGAGGGAGCCAGGCGGGCACAGGCACTCGTAGCCGCCGGGGAAGTTGTGGCAGGCGCCGGGACACGGATCCCGCAGGCACTCATCCACATCCAGGCAGGACTCTCCCCCCGGCTGCCGCTGAAAGCCGGGCCGGCAGGCGCAGCGGAAGGAGCCGGGAATGTTGATGCAGAGCTGCGGGCACGCGTGGGGCTGGGCACACTCGTCCACGTCGTGGCAGTGGTGGCCAGCGGGCCCCGCGGGGCGGTAGCCGGGCGGGCAGAGGCACTGGAAGCCGCCGGGAATGTTGTGGCACTGGTGCTGGCACGGCCCCGACTCGCACTCATCCACATCCAAGCACCCGCGGCCGTCGGCTGCCAGGGCGTAGCCGGGCTCGCAGCCGCACTTGAAGCCGCCGGGCAGCGGGCGGCAGGATCCCTGGCAGGGGTTGGGATGGCAGGAATCCTCGGCAAGGCAGGAGGCCATGTCGGCGGCCAGCACGAAGCCGGGGTGGCAGGCGCAGCGCGGGGGCTCGCCGGGCGCGTCCAGGCAGCGCTGCTGGCAGCCCCCGTTGTGGTGCCCGCAGTCCACCGGGCACAGGGGACCCGGCGGGTGCCAGGCGAAGCCACCGCCGGCCAGCGGCCCCTTGCAGACGGCGAAGGCCGAGGCCCGGCCGCTGTCGCACTGCACCTCGGCCAGCGTGCCGAAGGGAGCGGCGGCCAGGCGGGCGCTGCGCACCCCGAACGGCGTGGCGTAGGTGACCTCGCCGCGGCCGGCCAGCGGCAGGAGCCCGCACATTCCCTGGAAGCTGAACTTGCAGAGGAAAGCCGGGAGCGTGCTCCGGCAGGCTCGGTCGGCCCAGCCGCCGGGGCCGTGCGGGCCGGGCGGCCGCAGGGCCACACAGCGGGCGCTCACGCAGGTGACGGCCGGCTCGGATGCCCACTGCGAGAAGTTGCCCGGCTCGCCTCCGGCCACCCAGGAGAAGCCTCGCAGCGGCTCCTGCGGCCGCACGCAGTGACCCCGGGGCAGGGAGAGCCCGAGCCAGGCCGGGCCGGCCCAGCCGGCGCTGGCCAGCAGCTCCCGCAGCCGCTCGGCCTCGCCCGCGCTGCCCACTGGCGCCAGGTTGCCTCCGTTATCCTCGCAGCGCTCCTGGGCGCTTTTCCAGTTGCTCTCATCCCGGTGCAGGGTGTAGCAGGCGCTGTCGGCGCACAGCACCTCCGCGTCCTCCCCTCCGCAGCGCCAGGCCAGCAGCAGCAGCAGCAGCAGGAGCGGCCGGAGCGTGGCCATGCCGCCGGACAAGTGGACAAATGACCAGCGGAGTCACATCCCGCTGTCCCGCCGAGCTCTCCCGAAACACATCCTGTGCTCCAGGCTTTCCTATTTATCACCGGAGGCCGCGGCTTCCTGTAGCGTGCACCCCGTTGTGCTTCCCGGCTTCCCTTTGTAAGAAACACGTTTGCTCTCCTGTGAAAATGCAGAAAGTTTAATAAAGGGCAGCAGGAGACAAAGCAAAGCGAGGATTATGGCTGGGCGCATCCTGGCACTCAGCCAAGAGCACCCCCTCACCTTCGGGGGTATGGAAAACACCTTTTCCATTACCTCTGTCCTTTGCATCTTCACGGAGCCTTGTGCATATCCACAGGGCAGTTTACATATCCCGGGAGCTGTTCTGCACGGCCTCTCCTCGGGTCCGCCTCTCCAGAGCACGCGTGTCCCTCGGGTGTGGTTTGGGCTCCTCTTTATCGCTGCCAATGCGGGGCCTTGGTCCGTACTTCCCTCAGGGCGCAGATGCTGATAGCTGGCGTATCAGCAGCGGGGTCCCCATGGCACGTCTGCTGGGTGTTATCCCCGCCAAACAGAGAATTCATTCACTCACAGCCACCGCCACTGCCATGTCCGAGGTTTTGTTAATTGCAGAAATAAAAACAAAGCTATTTTAACATCATACGTACAGCATTCGCGCTAATATTTGCAAAAAGCCAACAGTACAATATGTATTTATAGCACCTTTCCCGCCGGCTCCGTGCTCCCATCCCAAAGTTTTGGGTAAGACACGCTGCGTTCCTGCTTTTATGCTCTTATTTTTGTGGTGTTCCTGCTTATTTCCCCCCCCCCCCCCCCTCCAAGAATTTGATTTATTCCCTCCGGCAGCAGCTGAGTTTTCCAAGCCCTAATAGGGGCCGAGATTTTTCAGGCACGTGTTGCTAAAAGGGGAAGGAAAACATCCCAGCTAAAAAGCCGTGGGATCTGTGGATAGCAGCCTCTAAAAAAGAGGGAATATTTGACGCGGCCTCTCCCGCGCATGCTCAAAGATTCCAGCACATTTTCCCCTTTCCTTAAATAGATGGAAGAGCCCTGAAATAGGAGCTGGGTCGTGGGAAGGTCCTGGGAATACCGGGATGGAGCCAAGCTCGGGCGGGCTCCGGTGCCATCCCAAGCAGCGCTGTCCTGGCATCCCATGGATGAGGATTCCTCACAGAACTCGAGGTTTGGGCTGGAAAAGCTCATCCATGAGCAGGGCAGGGACAATTCCACTGGAATGGGCTGTCCCAGGGCAGGGACAATTCCACTGGAATGGGCCGTTCCAGACTGATGCTGGGATGCTCTGTGGTAACAACTAGGCTAATCCCAGTTCCCTCCCTGCATTCCCAGGATTTCTCCTGAAGCATCACTTCGGCAGCAGCAGATCCAGGATTTAACCCTGGGAGTCTGGGGAGCCTTTTCCTGCTTGGCACAGCCATGGATCCACTGTCCATTCCAGGAGTTCTCAGGTTAGGTGGGTTTGGAATTCCTGAGGGAATGGCTGTGATCCAACAGAGAAATTAAAATCAGGAATCTGCTCCTTCACTTCCCTCCTAAATTAAAAAGCTGCCAAAAATCCCAATAAAAACTGTGGGTTATTCCCAGACCTGCTCATGCACAGCATTCCTGGGAAAGCCCTGACTGCTGGGATATCTTCTGGAATCTCCCATCTGAGTGAAGGTTCAGGGAACCACAGCCAATGCTCCCAAACCAGAGCATTGAGGAAAAACAGCTTTCCAAAAAAAAAAAAAAAAAAAAGGGAGGGAGAAACCCCACCTGGATGCTGTTTCTAATTGGATTTATCCAGAATTCCAGGAGTGGGGGAATTTTTTGGGCTTGGAATGAGAGAGCTCAGCACCGAAGCAGTTCCCTGCTGCCAGCCCAGGACATGGCCCCACTGTTGGAAAAACATGGATCATGGTTTGTCCGCCCAGCTGATCCCACAATTTTCCAACCCACAACTTCTTCCCACAGCCCAACCTGGCATTTTTTATCCAACCAAGTTTTCCTGGACAAAAATCTGTGAGTTTTTAACTAAAGCTCCTCTGGATATTCCCAAACTGGGGGAAATCCCAAAATATTTGAATATCATTTAAATATTAAAAGTCATTCCAGGATAATCACGGAATTGATGGGAATGTTCTTTCTTAGGGTGTGTAGGATGTCAAATCAGGAATCCTGTCCCAGGGAAGAACTTGCTTTTCAAAACCATGGAATATTCATGGAATGTTTGCAAAAATAAAGCTAAAAACATTTTCCAGTGGTTTGGGTTTGGTGTTTTTAAAAAAAAAAAAAAAAATAAAGGTTTATCCTTGTTTCCAAGAGTTTCATGGATAAGAAAGCTCCCTCCCATCACTTTTGGTAAGATCTCCATGTTCCAAGCTTACGTGGGAATATTTTTGAGAATTTTTGGTGCTTCTTTGATTTTTAGTGACTATTCCACACTCCTTAAATTTTCTTGGATGTTCCCATTGAAAATCCAAGTCCTGGCTCCAAACTTTAGAAGGATTTTCTCTCCCAGCCCCCTTTGGCTGAACACATAACCATATCCATAACACCCCATTTTCCTTAGGAATCCAATCCCAATGATCTCCTGGAGACCGGAACCCCCACCAAAGGGAATATCTAATACGGTTAACTAAAAGCAATAAAAAAAAAAAAATCGGGAATTGCTGAAAATTAAGGAATTGGTTTAAAAGTGTCTCTTGGAGGTTAAAGAAGGAAAGGGGCGTGGAATGTGTGACGTCAGCGGCGGCAAATCCCAGGACTGGGATGAGGGACAATGGAGCCGGAGTCGGGGACACCTGGGCGGGGGAAAAGAATTGGAGGAACTCGGCTCCCTCTGGAGACATCACAAGGACACGGAGCCGGGGTTGGGAAACTCCGGGAAGGCTCTTGGAATGGGGGAGCTCCTGTTACACTAAATTTTGGGAATTTGGGCAACGTAGAGGAGAAAGGAATTAGAAGGGGTTTCATGGGAACAGAATTCCAAGCACCAGGAAAAGGAATTGCTTTGTTTGGGTTTTCACATCCCTTCTCCTGTGCTCCGGGGAAGTCCCACCTGGAATTCTGCATCCAGGTCTGGCTCCCAGCACAGGAAGGACGTGGAGCTGTTGGAGCAAATCCAGAGGAGGCACCAGAATAATCAGAGGGATGGAGCAGCTCTGCTGGGAGTAAAAACTAGGAGAATTGGAATTGCTCAGCCTGGCAAAGAAGAGCTTCAGGATAATCAAATTGTGGCATCCCAGGAGCTGAAGGAGACGAGGAGGAAAGCAGGGAGAGATTATTCCCAAGGGATGGAGTGACAGGAGAAGGGGAATGGCTTCCCACTGCCAGGGAGCAGGATTAGATGGAATATTGGGAATAAATCCTTCCCTGGGAGGGTGGGGAGGCCCTGGCACAGACTCCCAGAGAAGCTGTGGCTGCTCCATCCCTGGAAGTCTCCAAGGCCAGCTTGGAGCACCCTGGGATAGTGGGAGATGTCCCTGCCCATGGAATGAGATGAGGAACTAAGATCCCTTCCCACTGAAACCATTCCATGATTTTTTTCATGGAGTGGCTGAATGCCCTCCTAGATGGAAATGAAGAAAGGAAGGAGTAGTTCCCATCCCAAATATTCTGTTCCTTCCAGGCATCTCCCTCCTTTTCATGGAATCAGGGAATTGGTTCCTTGGAGTCCAGACTCCATGCTGGCTTTTGTGATTCTTCCCTCCCTTTATCCTGTCCACGATTTTCCAACGTTGGACCAACTTCCAGGAATTCTGTATCTCTCCAGATAAAATCCAAGACAAAACTCCAGGAGCTCCATGGGGTCTCTGCCAGCTGGGAGAGAGCTGCTCCAGGTGTTTTGAGCAGCTCCAAGGAATTTGACGGATGCCAAGTCAGGACATGATTCTTGAATTTTGTCCCATTTTTCCGGCCCACCTTGTGCTTAAAACCAGGAATTCCATTTCTGTTTCCATTTGGAAGTCGTCGCTGCGATTCCAGGGAGGAGAAATCCCACTGGCCCCCAGCAGATCCATGCTTGGAAATTTCTTTGGGATAGAAGTGGGGCACTCTTCCCAAACTCTTTCCTCCTGGAAGTGGAAGGAGTGGAGTACAGCTGGAATATTAGGCTGGATAGCAGCTGGAAAAGTGGGAATCTTGCCTCTGGAAGCCTTCCATCTAAGAAGGACAAGATTCTCAGATCCCAGTGGGAACAGGACAATCACCCTGAGGAAAATCCTCACTCCAAGGGATGTTTTCCCTCTTCCTTTGTTATCTGAGGGATCCATTTATTATTCTTGAATTTTTCATGTGTTCAGAGCCTTGGAATTGCTGACTGGACTGTCCTGGGTGGTCCAGGGTGGGAATGTGGGCTGGGAACAACCTCTCCTCCAGATGGAGCCAGTTTAGGAAAAAACAGGAATTCAATCAGAGGCTTCCATGGGGACGGACCCCTCCTCCCACCAGGAGATTCTCCAAGGAATATTTCTGGGGCAGCTCTGGAAAAGCAGGGGGGAAGATGAAGGGGAGGATGGAGATTAAATCCCAACCCAAATTCGCTGCCTTCATTCCAGCGGGAGATTTGGGGATATTAATGTTGGAATGCCACCAGGACACCTGGAGAGCACACACACAAATAAACTCCAGGATTTCTCCAAACAATCCAACCCATCCGGAGGGGCTGCATTGGGATTTGGAGCTCAGACCAGCCAGAGTGGGGGAAATGCTGCAGCTCTGCAAAATTCCCTCTTATTCCCAAATTTCCTGGTCATCCAGAATGAGCCATCAGGGAATTTGGCAGCTCCCGCTGTTCCTGAGGGAATTACAACTCACCTCCCTAAACAGGGATTGCCTAAGGAAAGGAAAATTGGGAAATTTTCTCCCCCAAAATACAAAGAAAGTGGAGAACTCACTAAGGATGGGGAATTCCTGTGTGTTTTTTTCTGGGATTTGTGTGCCTGTTCCTTGTGGGAAGCTGGAGGCAAGAGGGAACATCTTTAGGATATTTGGGAGGGGTTTTTTGGCATAAACTGGGGTTTTCTGCTGGGCATTCCCTCTTTTAGCTCAATCCGTTTGGTGGCAGGATTGGTTTTCCAGGTGGAATAATCAAGGATTAAATAAAAATTTAAAAAATTAAAAAACAAACAAACAAAAAATTAAAAACAACCTAAAACTAAAACTAAAACTAAAAATAAAATACAAAATAAACTTAAACTAAAACTAAAACTAAAACTAAAACTAAAATACAAAATAAACTAAAAGTAAAAGTAAAAGTAAAAGTAAAAATAAAAAATAAAAATAAAAATAAAAATAAAAATAAAAATAAAAATAAAAATAAAAATAAAAATAAAAATAAAAATAAAAATAAAAATAAGTGTATCCATAGGCAGGTGCTGCCTGAATAAACATGGAATTACCATGGGAAGGAACCATTCCAAGGGATCCATGAGGAGTTGATTCCTTCTTTTCTCCCCCTCTATCTCACACTTTTTTCCCCACTGAAAACAGGTTTTCCCTGCCCACAAGAGC